AAAAAAAAAAATAAAATTGACTTAAGAAAGGGGAAAAGGGGAAGGAGGGAGATAAATTTTGAAAAAGGTGGGGGAGAAAATCTGAATAGATCAATATGTAGGGGAATTGAAAAAGTAGTTAAATGTTTTCCACTAAATGGACACCTACTCAGGTGCCTTTTATGAGTCAGCTCTAACAAACTTTCAAGGAGCCAACAATTCCAAAGTAATGCAAAGGGTTCCAGAGCATAGGAAAACTCACTCGAAGGAGCTAGGATAACTACGACATCAAAGCTTGACAAACTAAAGATAACTATGGCACTTTCACTGATGAGATGAAAATAAATATATATATGAATAAAATACTGGAAAAATCAAAACTAGCAGGACACTAAAAATCATAATACAGTTCTGGAAATGGATAGTGGTAACAGTTGCACAACACTGAATGTACGTAATGCCAATGAATTGTACATATGATTAGAAAGGTGAATTTTACATATATATAAAAAAAAAATCAGCCAGGCAAGGTGGCTCATGAATGTAATCCTAGCACTTTAGGAGGCCAAGGCAGGTGAACTGCCTGAGCTCAGGAGTTCTGAGATCAGCCTGAGCAAGAGCAAGACCCTGTATCTAAAAATAGACAGGTGTTGTGGTGGGCGCCTGTAGTCTCAGGTACTTGGAAGGCTGAGGCAAGAGGATCACTTGAGCCCAGGAGTTTAAGGCTGTCGTGACCTCTACTGAGGGCGACAAACACTGTGTCTCAAAAAAACCCCCCACAAAACAAAACTCCCACAAAAATTAACATTAAAAAGGAAAACAATAGAACTAGATTTTTACTGTTTTAATCTGAAATGAAAACTATACTCAAAAAAATTTCCTATGTACAAATTCATATGGGCATAGCATAAATCACAACAGTGATGGCTACACCTTTGAAACAGGGAAGTCCCAGAGCTGTACAGTGAAGTTTAAAAACCAATTCTGTGTTTATTTTTTTGAGACAGTGCTTCACTTTGTTGCCCAGGTTAAAAGTGCCATGGCGTCAGCCTAGCTCACAGCAAACTCAATCTCCTAGGTTCAAGCAATCTTCCTGCCTCAATCTCCTGAGTAGTTGGGACTACAGGTGCCAGCCATAATGCATGGCTAATTTTTCTATTTTTAGTAGAAATGGGAGTCTTACATTCACTCTGGTCTTAAACTCCTGACCTCAAGCAATTTTCCCACCTCAGCCTCCCAGAGTGCTAGGATTATATGGGCTTGAGCCACCAAATAGCTCTGCATTTAATAGCAGGTGCCAAAAACATGTAGAGAAATTAAAGCAGAAGCAGGCAGAAATTGGCTAACATATTATGAATCTGTAGCTTTATTTAAAATAGGGTAAATTACTCATTTGGTAAAGCTTAACCTAGAGGCATAAAAGTCTGTACTTTGCAGACACAAGTGAAGTGCTGTACGGCAGGATACTGTTTCAGAATGCCAGTGCTAGTAAATACTATTAGATGACAATTTTCTTGAAACAAAAAACAGGTTTTCAAATAAGAATAACTTTAACAGGGTCCCCATAGCTCAGTGGTTAAAGCATTGGCACTATGGGGGAGGTGGGTTTGAACCTAGCTGGGCCTGCTTGAAAAAAAAAAAAAAGAGTAACTTTGATACATATCTATTTTGTAAAAATAAAATAACATGTAGGCATATGTCTCTGTGTGTACATACGTATATGAGAAAAAAGGTAACACATAGTCATTTCTAGTAAATGTGAATGAAGCAGAAAGCACAGAACCAGAATAAAAATCACTGTAATTCTACCATCCAGAAATGAGCTATTTTTTGTTTCTTCTCTATTTATTTTTGAATTTGAAAACAGGGTAAAATATTGTATGATGCTTAGTGACTTAGGTCTACTGGGAGCTGTTTTCCCAAAAAATACAGGTTCTTAAAAGTGTTTTTTTTTTTGAGACAGTGTCAAGCTGTCGCCCTGGGTAGAGTGCCATGGCATCACAGCCCACAGCAATCTCAAACTCTCGGGCTTAAGCGATTCTCCTGCCTCAGCCTCCTGAGCAGCTGGGATTACAGGCACCCTGCCACAATGCCTGGCTACTTTTTGGTTGCAGTTGTCATTGTTGTTTAGGAGGTCTGGGCTCAAACTCACCACCCTCAATGTATGTGGCTGGCACTCGACGCACTGAGCCATGTATAAGCACTGAGCCTGGGTTCTGAAAGTTTTTAAATTTCAACCAACAGATATCAATCCATCATCATCACCATTCTAAATGTTCTCTAAATTTGTTAATAGTCAGTAATTTAACCCTCAGTTTTTGTTCTCAGTTCCTTTTACCTACCTTATAAACTTCACTGAAACCTCCTCTACCCAAAAGATGTAACAACAAATATCTGTCATTTAGCGTGGGATGATCTTTAAATCTGTAGAAACAGAGAATATGTAACATCCTGAGATCAAAGACTACAGTCTGCCACATTTGTATAATTCCCAGAATATTTAACACACTACAACATAGCTGCTGGTGGCTGTTTGACAACTATTAACAGCAAATTGTGAATATAAAGTTACACAGTTCAAAGAGGCAGCATAATTATAATGAACAGCAATAGCTGTAGAGACCCAGGATACAGTGCTAGTCTCAGCATAGCTTCATTAGACCTGTGACCTTTCTTGATTTCCTTCCCCTTCTGCCCTGCTATAAAATGGGGGTAAATTAAGACTAAATTAGGAATTTTCTTTTTTTTCAAGACAGTTTTAGTTTGTCGCCCTCGGTAGAGTGCCTTGGCATCACAGCTCACAGCAACCTCCAACTCTTGGGCTCAAGCGATTCTCTTGTCTCAGCCTCCTGAGTAGCTGGGACTACCAGTGCCTGCCACAATGCCCAGCTTTTTTTTTTTTTTAGTTGTCATTGCTGTTTTAGCTGGTTGGGCCAGGTTTGAACTCGCCACCCTTGGTATATGGCGCCAGTGCCCTATCCACTGAGCCACAGGTGCTGCCCTCTAGATTAGGGATTTTCACACTGTGCTATCCAGCTTCCCCAAACCATTCAATTGCCACACATTCCCACAATTTCCAAACTATCTATAGTAAAATTCTAAGACATTTTATATTGCCTTAAAAATAGATTGTTCATATATAAAGTGAGTTATGCACTCTATGTGCATTCAATATTCTCTCTTTAAGACAGACAAATTCTAGTGAAAAAAAAATTCACATTTTTTTTTTTTTCAGAAACAGGATTTGGCTCTGTTACTTAGGCTAGAGTACAATGGCACAATCATAGCTTACTGCAGCCTCTAACTCCTAGGCACAAGCAATGCTCCTGCCTCAGCCTCCCAAGGAGCGGGGACTCTAGGTGTGAGCCATTGCATCTAACTAAATTTTAAAATATTTTTGTTTTACTTAGTTCCTGATCTTAAACAGTCCAATTATTAATTCTAAAATTATAATCTTAAGAAAGCAGCATGCCTATGGGGAGAGATGCATTACTGCATGTTGGTTTGGATCAGAAAGGTCCAAGCTTGGCAATGTGTTTGATCACATTAGTTAAGGGTTCCTGCTCAAGTTAACTTAATTTCTCTAAGCTTATTTTCCTGATCCATGTATTGAAGATGACTGAATTATCCTGAGGATTAAAGGAAGAGTATGTAAGGGGACTTGGCACCATGCCTGATATACAGAGAGTGGGAACTGCTATTATCTGTCATTTGACAGAAAGGACCATGGAGACATTAGCCAAACAAAAATACACAAGCTGTGGCTATATGAGAAAAATGTTTCATGGTCAGAAAAATGTTGGAAAGAATAGATTACTTATAAAAAAGCTTTCCCACTTCAAACTACTTTTTCTAGTTTCAGTCCCTTAAATGGCTTGTAAACAAAGGTGGCTGTTAATCTATAATTAATGTGCTAACTTTAAGGGTTTTACTTAAAATGTCAACACATGAATGGTCCTTAAAGCTCATTCAGAAACTGAATGTCATTTCATCCCAATATTCTTTCCATAGTATGTATCATATTGGTGATCAAAGATTCTCTTTTTTAAAGCTCTGTAGGTAAATGTGAATATGCAGTACTGACATTTATAATCATTTAAGATTACAAAGTTATATTGTAAACTTGTATAATAATGCTGTATGCATACAAATACATTTAATAAATTTAATATATTCATATATATTCACACCAAAATAAATCATAATTTTGTTCATAAAACTGTATCATGCCCTACCTGTGGAATCATTTATCAAATTTATATTAAACAGAAACATCATTTTGCATTTTAGACTATTCATCTCATTAAGCACTTAGTAATCTCCAACTCCCAAGTTACTTACTGTGAATTATCTTCATTATGTATCCTTTTTAATTCCCTGATATGTAGATTTCTAACCCTTTCTAGTCTTTCCAGCTCTGCCTGGATCTCTGCTTCCTCCTAAAGAAATAATTCAGAATTACAGAAAACTTTACCTTTTCAGAGTCTCATTTCAAAAACAACAGAATTCTCTGTGAAAAGCTAAAGAGGCTTTACATTAAAAGACTGATTTTTAAGAAACAGAATTATATTTTCACTTTTAATTTTTTTTAAGAGTCTCACTCTGTCACCCTCAGTAAAATGCCATAGTGTCATCACAGCTCACAGCAACCTCAAACTCTTGGGTTCAAGTGATCCTCTTGCCTCAGTCTCCCAAGCAGCTGGGACTACAGGCACCTGCCACAAAACCAGGCTAGTTTTTCTATTTTTAGTAGGGACGGGGTCTTGCCCTTGCTCAGCCTGGTCTCCAACTTGTGAGCTCAAGCCATCCGCCTTCCTTGGCCTCCCAGAGTGTTAGGATTACAGACGTGAGCCACCACACTCGGCCTAAGAACTAGAGTTTTAATTATAAAGCAATGAAATCCAACCATACAGAAGAGTATAGTGGGGAAAGTATAAGTTCTCTACCTTCCTCCTCCCTCCTCTCCGTCCCCAAGTCTCTGGATGGAACCACTTATGTGAGTTTTTAGAAATGTCTTGTGCATGTAAATATAAGTATGCAAACTTTTTTACAAGAATCAGGTTTTCTTCTGTAAGTATGATTATACTTGGTTCCTTAAATTCTACTTACTTAATGAGATCTGAGAATCCAGTGGGAAAAAGATATGAAAACCAGCATGTGAAACCCCCCACACCCAACAGCAATTTAGTAATTAATCTTCACTGACCACCATCACCACAAACAGCATCTACCAATAATGTATGGGCTGCTGAATTTAAAAGCTGAGGTAATCTACATCTAAGACAGCTCAGTGAACATCATCAATAACAAATTCTATGTTAAATGCCTTTGTGTTTGAATATGGTTGGTTTGGTACAAGAGCTTCTCTTCTTTTGCTAGTTTAGGCAAGAAAGAAGAGCTGCTATGGGATTTAAAATGTCACAACAGTCTTTTAACATCAGTCTCAGAGCCATCTGTTCTTGGTGAACATTTAATTTTTACTCTAAGGATAAGCACTTGGGAAGCCTCAGAATGTATACAGAATTATCTATCAACAAATCATTGAGGGAAAAAATATTCTCACTGGGTTATTAGAGTTGACTTCAACAGAAAGATATGAGTTCCACCATTACACTACAAGATATGATAGTGAAAATAATTACTCAAGATTTCTGGAGCTATATGAAACTACTCTTACATTTGCCAAACAGCTTCAACAACAAATGTAAATTCGAAATCACCTTTCTGCACACAGATTTTCTTATTATACTTACCTTTTTAAGATGACCTAATCTGAGTTTGAAAATTTCTTCTTGTTCATGGTATTCTGCTAATGTTAACCTGAAAAATAATGGTAGAGATTTCAGTAAATTATCTGAAATCATAGCATGCCTATTTAAAGAGAAATGCTCATACCTATACCTGTTACTCCATTTCAGATCAATAAAAAATGGAGAAATGAAAAAATCATGGCTAACAATTCTCTCTGCCTGAAACAGGTTCAATACCAGGAAAGGAAAAGGTGACATACTCCAAGGCTCAAGAGGCCTCTTTTTGGCTTTTGGTTAAAGGAAAGAGCCAAATCCCAAATACTGATTAAAAACTAGACTGAAGGTCTTCCAGGTTAGATTCTACACAGGATTCTGGAGGGTAACTACTCACTGACACTCTACTAACCTACGCTGAATTCTAATTATTCGTCTGTGGCAAAGAAACAACCCATGCCTTGTTTAACACTCCTAAGCCAATCATTTTGCGGGCTAGCATTAAATAATTTTCAAGTAATACTAGAGGGAAAAAAATCCCTTCACAAAATAAACAGAGGAGTCATGAAAAAAAAACAACCAATGATCAGACTGATTTGTTTACAGAATCTTTCAATCTGAGCTCCTACTTAGATTCGTTGAAAGGAAATACGTAGATTTGAGTTGTAAAACATTTGGAGTTATACTAAAATGTAATTATTAATTTACTCATCTGTTCATCTCCCCTAAAGTAGGAGCTCCTAAAGCTGAGGCTGTATATTTTAATTCTGTATTCCCAGACCAGGGCCTACCATAAAATAAGCATTTAACATAGACTTACTAAAAAAATACCAAGGAAAAGACTACCCAACACACAGCAGGTATATGTAGGGTAAGAAATAGTGTTAAACCATCTTTCTCATTGGAATAAAGGAAGGTGCATTTCTTGGATGTCATGGGCTTTTAACAATGGTTTAAGTATTACTATACTTCAAGTGGATTCTGAGTTAATACGTTTTTGTGAACTAATCTGAAACATAAAAAAAGCAAAAGACATACTAATCATTAAGTTATATAATACTATGCCTTTATTTGAAGTTAACTCTAAAAGTCAAATCTACTTTCAATTAAAGAGAAAGGAATGGAGGAGAACATTTGTACTCTAGATAGTCTACTCTTCCTACACATGATAACTGTGTTAATAACTATTAACTGACAAGAGAAAAAGATGATTGTACTGTAATTTATGACACTGGTGTTTTCCTTAGGTTTTCATAACAGGAAAAAAATTCTGGTGAGATCAAGATTCGGCTGATCAGAAAAATATCCTTTTCCTAAAATAATAACTATTCTTTTAATTCTTGGCTTACTCCTACATTTGTACTGTTAACTAGTTTCTTTTGACCAGTAAAGAGCATTATTCAATCTAAAGCATTAGCCAGGGGCCAGACACAGTGGCTCATGCCTATAAATCTAGAACTTTGACATGTCAAGGCAGGAGGATCACTTGAATCCAGGAGTTCCAAGACCAGCCTGAGATAAATAGCAAGACCTTGTCTTAAAAAAAAAAAAAAAAAAAAAATTTTTTTTTTAAATCAGCCAGGCATGGTGGCACACACTGGTAGCCCTAGTTACTTGGAAAGCTAAGATGGGAGAACCACTTGAGTCCAGGAGTCTGATGCTATATAGCCCCAGCAACATAATGAGACCCTGTCTCAAAAAAGAAAAAATAATAATTAAAAAAAAGTAGCCAGGTAATCCCCACAAGACAATACCAGTATTTTATAACCCAGAGACACATAAGAAATAATATAATTTTGATACAATGACATCATATTTATTAAAAGAGTGGCCAAAAGTCATGATATCAAGTGAAGTAAAATTACTTCTCCCATCATTTGAAATTCCCTAAATAAAGAGCAGAACTAAGATAGGGGCAGTGGCTCATACTTATAATTCCAGTGCTTTGGGAGGCCAAAGTGGGAAGATCACTTTTTAAGTTCAAGACTAGTTTGGGCAGGAGGTTGATGCAGGATTGCTTGAGCATGAATATGAGGCTGCAGTGAGCTACAATTGCATCACTGCACTCCAGGTCTAGCAACAGAGTAAGACTATGTAAATAAACAGCAAGCAGGACTAAGAAAATGTGTTGATATTACATGGCTTTTACATGAGTGGAGATTGCACCACTGCACTCCAGCCTGGCAACAGAGTAAGGCTGTCTAAATAAATAAATAGCGAGTAGGACTAAGAAAATCAGTTGATTTTACATAACTTTTACATGAGCTGAGAGTATACTACTGCACTCCAGCCTGGCAACAGAGTAAGACTGTCTAAATAAATAAATAAATGAATAAATAAATAAATAGCAAGTAGGACTAAGAAAATCAATTGATTTTATATGGCTTTTACATGAGCCAAGCAATTAATATAAGTAAAAAGAAAGCTTAAACCTGAGTAAGCTCCAGAAATAATCATCGTTCCCAGTGGCACTCAAATAGATATTGTATCTGAGGTCAGGGTGTGGTGTCACAGAGTTGACATCAATAAATAACATACGTTTCATTTTCAGCTCCATTGGTCTTGCTTTTCCGCTGTTTTTGCTCATTGGTTGCTGGAGGGGCCTGGCCCATGGCAGGAGGTTTCCGCTTTGCTAACATTTTCCGTTGTCTTTCTATCTCCTCCCTCTGTGAATTTATCCTTTCCTGTTGCCTAGAGGTATAAAAGATGTTGCACAGAGAAAGGTCAAACATTTTTTTTCTAACACAGCTATAGAACAAACACAAATAACTTGTATAGCCACCTGTATATCCCATAAATTGCAGAAAAATAAGCCTTCTTAAATTAGAGATGTGATTTTAACCTCAGGTTGCAAGAGCCAGATAACTGGTCATAGATTTGGGGGGAATGAGTCTGTGTTTAAGATACTAGATATTATTATTTTCAGAGTGGCAAAGTAGGCAGAAAGGAACACATCAAATTTCTATTGTGTCCCTTATTTTCCTACTCAAAGGGACAATTGAATCCTTTTTTATAGCTAAGAAAACAACTTTCTGGTAAAGATCTATATATAAGGAAAAGAAGGTATAAAATGTTCCAAGTTCCCTTTTATTGTTGGTTTGGATTAAAGCTTCTTCAATTTGGCTTGGTGCCTGTGGCTCAAGTGGCTAAGGCGCCAGCCACATACAACTAAGGTAGCAGGTTCAAATCCAGCCTGGGCCTGCCAAACAATGATGGCTGTAACCAAAAAATAGCCAGGTGTTGTGGCAGGTGCCTGTGGTCTCAGCTACTTGGGAGGCAGAGACAGAAGACTCCTTTGAGCCCAGGAGTTAGAGGTTGCTGTGAGCTGTGATGCCATAGCACTCTACCCAGGGGGATAGCTTGAGGCTCTGTCTCAAAAAAAAAAAAAGCTTCTTCAATTTTATTTAGAAAGATACTAGGTTCATAGGATGCTAAAGAAAGTAAACAAGAGTTTCTCTTCAGGCCTATTATTCATTCTATTCTAAGAGAGCCATTACTACCCTGCAAGTCATCTCCTACTCATTGAGAAAAAGCGCAATGAAGTCTTACAAATAGCAAGAACTCCTTAGGCAATGATACATAAAGTGAATTAGTATAAAACATATTTTACACATCTTTAGATGTCTAATACCACTACCATTACAGTGATTTCTAGTAAGATGTGCAATTTTTCTTTTTCTTTTGAGACAATCTCATTCTATTGCCTTGCATAGAGTGCCATGGCACCAAAGCTCACAGTAAGTAATCTCAAAGTCCTGGGCTCAAGCAATCCTCTTGCCTTAGCCTCCCAAGTAGCTAGACTACAGGTGCCCACCACAACACCTGGCTAGTTTTTCTTTCTTTCTTTTTTTTGAGACAGAGTCTATGTTACCTTCTATAGAGCACCGTAGCATCACAGCGCACAGTAACTTCAAACTCCTGGGCAAAAGCGCTTCTCTTGCCTCAGCCTCCCAAGTAGCTGGGACTACAGGCGCCTGCCATAATGCCTATTTTTTGTTGCAGTTGTCATTGTTGTTTAGCTGGCCCAGGCTGGGTTTGAACTCACCAGTCTTGGTGTATGTGGCTGGCGTAGCAACCACTGTGCTATAGGCGCCAAACCTAGTTTTTCTATTTTTAGTAGAGATGGGATCTCGCTCTTGCTCAGGCTGCTCTGGAATTCCTGAGTTCAAACAATCCACCTGCCTTGGTCTCCCAGAGTTTTAGGATTATTGGTATGAGCCTCTGCACCTGGCCAGATGTGTATTTTTTCCGCAATAGAAACCAAGTTTACAACTTACTAATCAATTAAAAACTCCACTATAAGAAAAACACTTTCCCTTATGTATCAGACACTACCTAACAAATATTAAGGTTTATACACTTGGCATATAAAACTATACAAAGATTTAAGATTAACCATTTAATAAACTGAAGCCTTTAAATTACCTGCTATAGTTCACAAATACTAACTCCCTCCCCCTCCCTTCTGTACTATGCTTCTCGCATCCTGCTTCCCTTTCTACGATGAACCTTCATTTTTGCAGAATGATGAAATCTAATTTTTTTTAAACTATTCTCAAATGGAACCTATCCTACACCGTTTTCCTTAGGTCAAACTTTATCCAGAGGCAGTACAGTGTTATCTTTCTCAAAAGAATGTCAACCTTTCTTGGAAGAATGTCACCCAGAAACACAAGGCTACTCTAGAGTAGAAGCCCAGAATGCACTTTATGCTACCATTATCTAGAAAGGCAATACTGTTAAGCCTGGGTTAACCAGGTTAAGCTGATTACATATCAATTTAATGGCAGAATAAATATTTAAATAAAGAGTTTTCTCTTTGCCTGAAATCTTTCTCTTTTTTATTTTTTGAGAAAGAATCTTGCTCTGTCACCTTGGATAGAATGCAGTGGCACCATCATGGCTCCTGCAACCTGAAACTCCTGGCATCAAGCAATCCTTCTGAATAGCTGGGACTACAGGTGCATACCACCACACCCCACTGACTTTCATATTTTTTTGTAGAGATGGGCTCTCACTCTTGCTCAGGCTTGTCTCAAACTCCTGATCTTAAGCAATCTTCCTGCCTTGGCCTTCCAGACAGAGTGCTTAGGATTATAGGCATGATCCACTACACCCCACCAAGAGTTTTCTATTTGCCTGAAAATTATTTTAGCTACCACTTTGCCTCCCTACCCTCATCTTACCCTCTCAACAGATATACAGGGTAGACATTAAGTTCATGTGCCACAAACTTTTATGTCCACTCTGTATATAGTTAGCCCCCTGTATCCATGGATTTAACCACCTGCAGATTAAAAATATTCAAGAAAAGGCTCGGTGCCTATAGCTCATCCGGCTAAGGCGCCAGCCACGTACACCTAAGGTGGCGGGTTTGAATCCCCAGCCCAGACCTGCCAAACAACAATGACGACTGCAACCAAAAAATAGCCGGGCGTTGTGGCGGGCGCCTGTGGTCCCAGCTACTTGGGAGGCGGAGGCAGGAGACTCGCTTGAGCCCAGGAGTTGGAGGTTGCTGTGAGCTGTAATGCCACAGCACTCTGCCCAGGGGGACAGCTTGAGGCTCTGTCTCAAAAAAAAAAAAAAAAAAAAATATTCAAGAAAAAAATATGGATGGTTGCTTCTGTACTGAATGTGTACAGATCTTGTTATTCCCTAAATATGGCGTAACAACTATTTATACAGAGTTTACATTACATATTATCAACAATCTGCAGATGATTTAAGTATATAGGAAGATATGCATAGGTTATGTGCAAATATAATTATCATACCATTTTATATAAGGGTCTGGGCATCCTTGGATTTTGGTATCCAGAGGGGTCCTGGAACCAATCCCTCATAAGGGACAACTGAATAAATAATTCATGACTTAAAAGAATTCTGGGTTGAGACACAGAATCTTTAGGAAAAATCACAATCTTCCTTCTGATTCTCTGAATGTCCTTTCTGAAGGACATTAAGAAAACACGTACCTTATCTAAACCTGAATTTCCCAATCAATAAAAATTGGTAAAATATCTTAACTCATTCCTACCTTTTAAGGGCTATGAATGCAAGGCACTCTGAACTCTGGAGATAACCATACAGTAACAATAAAATAAAAAGGCCTAATGGAGTGCACCTAGGTTAAAAGTCTAGAAGTCTGAAGGCAGGGTCAGGGTGTGGCAGGGTCATATCAGGAGGATCTCCTCTTCCAGGGATTTCGTTGCCCCAGGCATTCCTTGGCTTGTGCACCATAATATTTTGTCTTTGAAAACTGTTTTGAAAAGCAATCACCTTTATTAAATAAAATAAAACTAGCTTCCTATTATCTTCAGATAGAATTCATACATTTAATCTATTCAGATTCATCTGAAAGGAGTCCCGCAGCCATCATATATATAAACCATAAACACAGGGTACACAGATTCCAAAACACTTTTGGGAAAATCTTAAGCTAAATGTTCTTAAGAGCTTTGAACAGAAATGAGAGCTTGCTTTGTGAACAACAAAGCTAAAGTACCAAAGATCAATGTTATGTAATATAAAGATTCTCATATGGATTCTTGATATTCTTGAAACTATTTAGCTACTGATACTGAAAAATCAAAGAATAAAGAGTCTATTAGTGGTATTTCATTTAGATGAACTTTGGGAGTACAAAGTTCTGGATTATGTCAATAAACTATAACTTCTTTTAGAACGGCAATCATGTCTTATCAACTTGTATATCCCCCAGCACAGATTGACAGTGCCTTTCACAGGGTTGATCCTTAAATATTTCTTGTATACCATCACATTTAGACAGTGCTTACCCTTCATCACCCATGGAAAGAGATTATTTCTTCTATCTTTTATAGAGTATTGCTGACCCCCCCAAATCCATCTCACTTATATTTAAATAATTCTATTTAAAAAGACACTGCCTGTAAAGGAAACAGGGCCATCAGTCTCAGCACCATTATAGGTTGAATTGTGTGCTCCAAAGGCATGCTAAAAAAGTCCCAACCCCCAGTGACCTGATGCGGAAAGAAATAGAGTTACTGAAGATGTTATTGGTTAAGATGAGGTCATACTAAAATAGGGAAGGCCCTCAATCCAATATGAGTAGTATTCTGTTAAGAAAAGGTAAGGAGACACAGAGACACATAGGGAGAAAACCATGTGAAGATGGAGGCAGACACTGCAATTATGCAGCCACAAGCCAAGGAATGCCTGGGGCAAGGAAATCCCTGGAAAAGGCAGATCCTTCTGATATGACCCTGCCACGCCCCGACCCTACCTTTAGACTTCTAGACTTTTATCCTGTAAGGAAAAACATTTTTCTTGCTTTAAACCACTCAGTTTATGGTATTTTGTTAATCAGCCCTAGAGAAAGCATACAGGCACATTCAACAGCAAAACCGTATTTCACACTCTAACCATACTAGAAATAACGAGTAGGAGAGGCAATTTTTAAAAGCATCTATTTTTAGACACAAATCTAACTGGAAAAAAATACTTTAAAAGTAATTTACAAAGAACTTGTGAACATACCAGATGAGAATTTTTAAAGATTCCCAGGATTTCATATATTCTGTACATACTAGAAACTGTAAAATAGTACAGACTACCTACAGGAAGGAGATGTTCATCACATCAACAACATGAACTGTCCCAGTATTAATCATGACTTGAGAATCACACAGCTCATCATGAAGTGCTTTAAGATGGGTTAACTATAATGCCTGATAAATCAGGATAAATGCTAGACTAGTATTACAATGTTGTCAAGTTTAATTTGTTCCTGCTGATTAGCCACATCTTAAATAATCATAATTCTGTCCAAAGGTTAAAACCCATTAATTTAATGATGTTTATTTCAATATAAACAAGGTCTTAGCAATTTTTATTGCCTTGCCATTCACTAGCTAAGGCTTATTTAAATAAAAAATAATTGCGGATTACATTAACGTACACAGCTATGATTTAATAAAAAATAAAAAATCAATGAATAAAAATAATTACAGATGAGCATATGGGTACTTAAGGGAAGAGTCATATCTTGATGGCTTGCACTGCTACTAATAATGACTTAATAAGCTTTAAAGCAATGTTCAATTGTTTGTTGTACTGAAAAAGACAAGTTTTTCTGTTTTTTTGGTTTTTTTTTTGCAGTTTTTGGCCAAGGCTGGGTTTGAACCTGCCACCTCCCGCATATGGGACAGGCACCCTACTCTTTTGAGCCACCACCCAAAAGACTAGTATTTAACATTACTTTCTCAAAGTATAAAGCAAGCAACTTTTCTTTCTTTGTTTTTTTTTAATTGTTTGGAATGCACTGAGGGTACAAAGAATTCGGTTACACTGATTGCAGTTGTTAGGTAAAGTCCCTCAGCAAGCAACTTCTTCAACAGAAGCAAGCATACTTTAGAAAGCAAAAATTACTAACTGGACGAAAAATCTGATAACATTTTTCTATTAGACAGTAAATCTTCTGTTTTAGGAATTAAATAATCACTCAAAAAAGAGCCAGAGAACAAAGTGAGAACAAAAGAAGTATCTTGAAGTACTTGTTAGAACTATATTTTAATTACAATTCAGCATCTTTTTTTGAGACAGAGTCCTACTCAGTGACCCTGTGGTTAAATGCTGTGGTGTCATAGCTCACAGCAACCTCAAACTCTTGTGCTCAAGCAATCCTTTTGCCTCAGCCTCCCAAGTAGCTGGGATTACAGGCATCTGCCACAACTCCCTCTATTTAGAGATGGGGTTTTGATTTTGCTCAGGCTCATCTCAAACTCCTGAACTCAGGCAATCCACCCACCTCAGCCTCCCAAAGTATTAGGATTACAGGCGTGAGCCACCTTGCCTGGTCTTTATTATTCAATTTTTAAATGTCTTGACTTTTGCTCTTCCTGTTAGCTGTCAGTTCTTCACCTACCTCACCCATGAATTACTCAACGTTACAGAATGATCATTTATGAAGTTATCAGATATAGCCTTCTATACCTAAAGAATTTCAATTTATTTTTTTTTAATTTTTTTTTTGAGACAGGAGCCTCAAGCTGTCCCCCTGGGTAGAGTGCCATGGCATCTCAGCTCACAGTAACCTCCAACTCCTGGGCTCAAGCGAGTCTCCTGCCTCCAAGTAGCTGGGACCACAGGCGCCTGCCACAACGCCCGGCTATTTTTTGGTTGCAGCCATCATTGTTGTTTGGCAGGCCCGGGCTGGATTCGAACCCGCCACCTTGGGTGTACATGGCTGGCGTCTTAGTCGCTTGAGCCACAGGCGCCGAGCCAAGAATTTCAATTTCTGCACTAAAGCAAAGGGAATTTATTAAAGCAAAACTTCAGGGAATCAAATGCCTATAATTAATAGACACCAGCCAGAAACAGTTCTCCAAAGGAAGAAATGGACACCTTACCATTTATATGACCTTAAACTAAGGTGACTAGACGTTCCAATTTTTAACAATTTGTCCTGTGTCCCGTGGCATTTTTAAAAAGTTCCCATTTTTGGAAAGAATGCACGACAAGCTAGGGAACAGCAGGAGAATGGGAAGGGAATATACTGGGCTGATGAAAAGGTTAATGTAACTTCATTTGGAAATGAAAAGGCTAATGTAAACTCCCTATTCCCTCAGGAGACTGGCTCCCTCCCTTGCTTCTAGGCAAGGACAATTAGCTCAAAAGGAGCCAAACTGTCTGGAACAAATAGGTAGGCCCCTCCTCTTTAGAGTAAGGCAAACAGAAGTCCCGCTTTTGGCGGGACAGTCCTGATTTTTAACAATTTGTCCTGTGGCATTTTAAAAAAGCCTGGATTTTTTGAAAGAATGCACGACAAGCTAGAGAACATGGGAGAACAGGAAGGGAATATATGGTTTTTGGCTGCCATGTGGCTATTTTGCCAGGATATGCGTTTTATATTATTTTTGTTAATTTTATAATGTTAAACTTTAATAATAACAAATAATTGTTGAGAACTGCTTATCAAGAACTGCTTATCAAAGTTTGCATTGTTATCAGCCCCCCGGTCCTGCTTTACCAACATTAAAATCTGGTCACCTAACCTTAAACCATTAAACTAGGGTTATCTACCTAGAGGGAATAAGCCCAGTCAGTTTCTCTGATCTTATGGCTCTACAGCAGTTACCATTTTGTAATCTGTAACTGTGTAAAGATTCCCAGAACCTTCTGGGGATGAGAAGGCATAGGGAGTAAAAGATAAAATACTGCTACTATCAGCAAAATTTTTAATCACTTTTTAAAACTAATTACATCTCTATACAAACTATCTTTTTGAGTCAAAGTCTAAGACGACTGCCATGTAACAACTGGCCACAAGCAGGGCTCACCAGGAGTCAGGGCATTAGATGGCTTTGGCCACTAATGGGGAGGGATCTTAAGTTTTGTCTTCAGATCCCATTTTAACACATCTGGAAAGGGTGTTAGCAGATGGCACCTCCATGTAACTGCTGTTTACAGTGGTGCCCCGGTATACCTCTGCTATCACCACCACCCATGCTTAGAGCACAGAGTGAATGCTGCTCTGAACTGCTACCTGCCCTAACTCCATAGCATGTGCTTTCCTGCCAGGGTATTCTTTGACTTGACAGCCCCCTCTTACACCAGCACACACCCATCTGAGGTACATTTGTGAAGCAAAAATATGCCTAAAATAAGTTGGAGGTTAATGTTTCACATATAAAACAAGGGTTACTAACATGTAGTTCAGAGGTTGGTTTTAACAAAATGTAAACAGCATTATTAATATTTGTATTTCCTTTCATGCATAAATTTGTGATTACTCAAAAGTAGTCTCACTCCATTTCACACTCAAGAAGCTATTTTAGACTCAGCGCCTGTGGCTCAAGCGGCTAAGGCGCCAGCCACAAACACCTAAGGTGGCGGGTTCGAATCCCCAGCCCGGGCCTGCCTAACAACAATGATGGCTGCAACCAAAAAATGGCCGGGCGTTGTGGCGGGCGCCTGTGGTCCCAGCTACTTGGGAGGCTGAGGCAGGAGACTCGCTTGAGCCCAGGAGTTGGAGGTTGCTGTGAGCGTGATGCCATGGCACTCTACCCAGGGGGATAGCTTGAGGCTCCGTATCAAAAAAAAAAAAAAAAAAAAAGAAGCTATTTTAGCAAGAGAATGAAGACAGGAAAGACAGTCCATGGAACCTTCAAATTCATCATGATCTGGAGATTAAAAATGTGAGAACCTATGATTTAAAAAAGTATAATGCTTCTACCTCACTCAGATGACAATGATCTAACAAAGCAAAATATGTAAGATGCACCAAAAGGGAGTACAACCCCAAGATACCAATTTCTTCAAGTCCTGAGCTAATAGTAGTTAGTCACACAGTATGACTTTTAGGATTTTAAACGTTAATTCTCTCCCTGGAATAAATATCTGAATGTTTCAAACCAAAAATTATAATAAAGACAAGGAATGCTCAATATTTCAAGTTCCAGACAGCCACAGACTGTGGAGCTGGTCACCACAGCATTCAAGGAATTGACTACTCTGATAAATGAACACTGTCTTCTTAAAAAGCCTCAGTGACATGTCCTACAAGTATCTTCTATGTTTCTATTTTTTATAAAGCAAAAATATGCTTTAAGTCACTGCCCATTTCATTTGTTCTGTGGATTCAGCATAAATGCTAATAGACTCCTTATGATAATTAATTTCATAATTAAAAGGTATCAAGTCAAACACTAGATTTTTCTTCTCTAGCTTCAGTGACTCTGTTATTTTTAAGTTTAATGCAGAACTCATTTTTTATTCCTTGTGTCACTTTTCTGAGGACTTTACTACATTCTCTACATTTCTTTACAGCTGTGATAACTAAAAAACTAAAAGAGGGGCTTGGTGCCCGTAGCACAGTGGTTATAGCACCAGCCACATACACTGAGGCTGGTGGGTTTGAATTTGGCCTGGGCTAGCAAAACAACAATGACAACTTCAACAAAAAAATAGCCCGGCGTTGTGGTGGGCACCTGTAGTCCCAGTTTGTAGTCCCAGTTACCTGGGAGGCTGAGGCAAGGGAATCACTTAAGCCTAAGAGTTTGAAGTTGCTGTGAGGTATGACGGCATAGCACTTAACTGAAGGTGACATAGTGAGACTCTGTCTCAAAAAAAAAAAAGATGATTTCTAGAATTATTAATGACTACAATTACAGAAAACATTAAAATATCCAAACTAACTTTTCAATTTGTCATTAAATCATGCCAATTCACTTACTTGATAAGGTTCTGGAAAGCATAACCATCTGTCCATTGTTCGGTAAAAGAGGCTCCGTGTCGGACAGTAGTAAAGTGGCCCAATCTCAAGCGATCTTGCATACTCTTATCTCTACATGCCATCTTCTCTTGTTTTGACTTAGGGGAAAATGGACAAAAAAGAAATTCAGTATTAATTAGCACAGAGAAAGATATTTCCTAGAAACCAAAAGATTTAAGGTTATCAGGAAAAATGCTGCTGAAAAAACCCACACACAATCTCAAAACATTCAGTAATGACTCCTTGGACAACATACATCTTCCATTGAAATAAAGGAGACAGGATAACAAAAGAGCTGAAGCTTCTTCCTTGGAGAAGTTTCTCTGATTTGCCTATCCATTATTTTATCTAAGAGTTCAACATCTCAATTGTGGACTATATTAATACCTAATTCCTAAGCTGTTCCCCTATGTCCTGTTTCTTCACCGAAAGACAGTATTCCCTCTGTTTTTAACAGCATTCCAAAGATTTCAGGAAAAGTATCCACCAATTCATCTCAAAACTCTAGTTTGCAATCTTGCAAAAATTTCATTAGGAGGGCCACCTGTAATCCTAGCACTCTGGGAGGCTGAGGCAGAAAGATCATATATACTCAGGAGTTTGAGACAAGCTTGAGATCCTGTCTCTGCTAAAAATTAGCCGGGCATTGTGTCTTGGCTTCTCAGGAAGTTGAGGCAGGAAGATCACTTGAACCCAAGAGTTTGAGGTTGCTGTGAGGAAGGTTGATGCCCTAACACTCTAGCCTGAGCAACAGACTGAGACTCTGAAGAAAAAAAAATTAGGAAGTACTTAAAACTTCTAAGGAATAGTTACTAATAACTATTAAAGGCAAACTGTAGGCCCTGGTCAAAAAACTGCAATAAAATAAAATAAAATAAAACAAGCTGCAACTTTCAAGTACTGTTTAAAGGTAGTTGCAGTCAATTAAAGTAATCACATACAAGTATATGTCAGCTTCATTTTTTATAGCATAAACAATTATCACATTATTTTATAAGTTACTCTAAATATCATCACTGAAACACAAGTGTAACTATTATTAAATGTTTGGTCAGGATACTCACTTCAATTCACAGGATGAATATAGAAATTTAGGAGAGCAATACCCCAAATAACTCAAATAGGACAAGCTGTGACTATTTAACATCATATTCAAAAGTAATGCACAGCCAGAAGGCATGTCCCAAATTATCACTCTAGATGTTTGGTCTAGTGTCCATGCAAGGAAAAAATTTCTAATTGTCAAATCATGAGCAGTCTTCTTCTAAAAAGCCCTCTTTAAAAGTATTTTCTTCTCAGGTAAGGAATAAGAAGCCACACAGTAACATACATTGAGCATCTATGGATATAGCGTTTAGGCCACCATTATTCACTAACCTTTTCTATAAGGAGTTTCTTGCTCATTGTCACACATCTATTTAATCGTTCCTTGTATTTCTCTAGCATCTTTTGCTGTTCATCAATCTGCCGTCTCAAATCACAGTTGGCCTTCAATGGAAAACAATTTTTAATTAGCTCTAAGGGAGACAGATTAATATAAAAGCAGTTTCCAGGAAGAGAGAAAAATCATTTCTATGTGTTATTAAATCAAAATCAAAATTAAGGTTCAGAGGTAAGAGTAACTATATCTTTTCTTCAAAGCAAATCATTCCTTTATTCTGTTTAAATTTATCATCTGTTTATCAATGATAAATTGTGATAAATTGTGTTACTAGAAGTGGGACTGTTTCTCTACTGATCATATTTTGCCCCCTGAATAACCAGTTATAGCTAATCTTGTACATTACAGATAACTGAGCTATTACAAAGTAAAATTTTTAAAAACCCAGAACGAATGTTTAAAATATGTATGAAGAGTGATTATGCACTTACAAAACAATTACAGAATTTTTTTTAACCACATAAGATTCTTTATATTTAGTGTGTTGTTTTTCTATTCTTACTTAAAAAAAAAACAAAAAACAAAAAACAGATAACGAATTACATAACGGTCCTCACCAAAGAAGCCAGGCACACACATGTCCACACAAGACAGAACTAACAAACAAGATCCTAGTTCAATAATGCCAGAATGGAAATAGTTAATTTAGCTGTGGTCAGAAGCCTAAAACATGGACTAAATACTTTCAAAAATTCAAGTCAACTAATAACAGAGGAGAAAAGAACCACTAACCCAAGGTCAAATTTGACTCCCAACTTCTGAATTTATTCTTGTTGTGTTAAAAAAAAAAAAAGAAAATCTCTACCCTTTTGGAAAATAATGCTACTTCATAATAACTTGCTTGAATTATGAACTTTGTTACATCCCAAACAAATGATATAAGCATTTCTGAAATAGTAAAAAAGCACAAATGGAAGATACTATAGGATATTCAATTTCTGAGACTTCAACTTCATAAAAAAATTCTTCCTATTAGTTCTTCTTGCAGAGTACTACAGATTACATCATCAAAGGCAAAGTATAACTACATTTGGGTAAATGTGACTAATTCATGCTAAGAATCTACAAAAGTCTGCCAGCATGGTGGCTCACATATGTGATCTTAGTACTTTGGGGGCCCAAGGAAGGAGGATTGCTTGAGGTCAGGAGTTTGAGACCAGCCTGGGAAAACAGAGAGAGATCACGTCTCTACCAAAAATAAAACATTACTGAGGGCCGGGAGCTGTGGCTTATGCCTGTAATCTTAGCACTCTGGGAGGCCAAGGCAAGAGAAATGGCTTGAGCTTAAGAGTTTGAGGTTGCTGTGAGCTATGACACCACAGTACTCTACCAAGGGTGACAAAGTAAGACTCTGTCTCAAAATAAATAATAAAAAAAAAATTATAAAATCTCAAAATAAATTAAAAAAAAAAACAACAAAAAACATTAGCAAGGTGCAGTGGTGCACACCTGTAGTTCCAGATACTTGGGAGGCTGTGCCAGGATGATTGCTACAACCATAATTGGTTGTAGCAAACAATTAATATACCCCAGCCTGGGTGACAAAGCAAGACCCTGTCTCAAAAAAAACAAAAGATCGCTCAGCACCTGTGACTCAAGTGGCCAAGGTGCCAGACACACACACCTAAGGTGGCGGGTTCAAATCCAGCCCGGGCCCGCCAAACAACAATGATGGCTGCAACCAAAAAAAAAAAAAAAATAGCCAGGCGTTGTGGCGGGTGCCTGTAGTCCCAGCTACTTGGGAGGCTGAGGCAGGAGACCTGCTTGAGCCCAGGAGTTGGAGGTTGCTGTGAGCTGTGATGCCACAGTACTCTACCCAGGGGGACAGCTTGAGGCTCTGTCTCAAAAAACAAACAAACAAACAAAAGAAAAAGAAGAATCATCTACTACAAGCTAAGGCATATAGTGTTTGGTGAAATCCATTCTATCACTGGAAGGTGAGTATTTCCTCAAATCTGTAATCAGACATATGGATCAGTCCACCTCTGACAGCTTATTTAAAATTTTAAGAATTCTGGCTTGGTGCCTGTAACACAGTGGTTGTAGTGCCAGCCACATACTCAGGCTGGTGGTTTGAACTCAGCCCAGGCCTGCTAAATAACAGTGACAACTACAACAAAAAAATAGCCAGGCTTTATGGTTGCCTGTTGTCCTAGCTATTTGGGAGCCTAAAGCAAGACAATGGATTAAGCCCAAGAGTTGGAGGTTGTTGTGAGCTGCGACAATACAGCACTCTACCGAAGGTGACATAATGATACTGTCTCAAAATAAAATGAAATAAAAATAAAAGTGAAATCTTAAGAATTCCTAATTTTTGTGGTTTCCAACACTAATGTTCTTTTTTTGTTTCTTTGTTTTTGAGACAGTCTCACTATGTTGCCCTTGGTAGAGTGCCATGGCGTGACAGCTCACAACAACCTCAAACTCTTAGGCTTAAGCGATTCTCTTGCCTCAGCCTCCCTACTAGCTGGGACTACAGATGCCCGCCACAACACCTGGCTATTTTTTTGTTGTTGCAGTTGTCATTGTTGTTTGGCAGACCCAGGAAAAGTTGAACCTGCCAGCTCCAGTATATGTGGCTAGAGCCCTAGTCGCTGAGTATAGGCTCTGAGCCCCAACATTAACTTCTTTTTGTTTGTTTTTTTAGAGATAGAGTCCTCAGTAGAGTGCTGTGGACACAGCAACCTCCAAATCCTGGGCTTAGGCGATTCTCTTGCCTCAGCCTCCCAAGTAGCTGGGACTATAGGCGCCCAACACTAACGTTTTTAAGATTTCATATTTAAAGTAGCCCCTAGCTTGCAGATCCACTACAGTCATACCTAACAACTTATTAAAATGGAAAAACCTAATAGATGACTAATGACTATTTGAAAGGAGATAAAACACCAGCAATCTTTCCTTCACTGGAGGACCCTGATTAGTAACACAAGTTCTAATCAATTTGAAAAAATGGTGGCTGAATCTCTCTGCTTTCATTTTTGTTGAAATAGGAGTTTGCTCTGTTGACCTGGCTAGACTACAGTGGCATCATCACAGCTCACTGCAACCTTAAACTCCTGAGCTCAAGCAATCCTTCTGCCTCAGCCTCCTGAGCAGCTGAAACTACAGATGCACAATACCATGCCTAGCTAATTTTTCTATTCTTTTCTTTTTTGAGAGAGAGCCTCGTTTTGTCACCCTTGGTAGAGTGCTGTGGTGCAACCTCAAACTCTTCAGCTCGAGCAATTCTCTTGCCTCAGCCTTCCTTGTAGCCGGACTACAGGCACCTGCCACAATGCCCGGCTATTTTTTTGTTTGTTTAGCTGGCTCGGGTGGGGTCTGAACCCACCAGCCCGGGTGCATGTGGCCGGTGCCCTAACTGCTGAGCTATGGGTGCCAAGCCTAATTTTCCTATTTTTTTGTAAAGATGGGGTCTCACTCTTGCTCAGGCTGGTCTTGAACTCCTAGCCTCAAGCAATCCTCCCTTTTTGGCCTCTCAAAATACTAGGATTACAGACATGAGCCACTGTGGCTGGCCCTGTGTCTTCCTTTTTGATGCATCTATTCTTTTACTTCGATGTACTGCTCTACATTGAAGTAAAGACTACACCCTTCAGAAGGCAATGAAGAGAAAAGGACAGGGGTAAATAAAGGGAACACACTGCTTCCTGGGATATGTAAAGAACATTTTTTTAAAGCCTAAGAAGCAATACTAAGTTAGGATTCAAGGTTTTCGCAGACTTCCTTCTCAATCATAAGAGAGGCGATGAAGAAAGGAGGGAGACATGTCTCTATGCTTTCTCAGTCCAGCAGAGCTGCTCTGGACAAAACCCTGCCAGATACTGGATTTTGACAAGAAGCCTTTTATACCCACAAACTTAATTATAAATCTTAGATGACAATTCACTCAGCACCCAAATGAACAAAAGCATTAATAAGAGCGAGTCTAAGCAAATATATACATTAACAATTAAAGATGCAAGACAGGTACTGAGTCTACTCATGGCCTCCTCATTAACAGATGAAGAAAAGGAAATAAAAGGAAAAAGTAGGTAAAGCAAAAATGCAAGTAGCAGGATCAAAATTCACATGAGCAACAGTCAATAGCAGAAAATGTATAGGAAGACAATGAATGTTTAATGAGATTCAGAAGAAAAGGGCAATCATATGAAAATGAGACGGTATGTTTGAAATAAAGGATAGAAGTCAGAGATCCAAGTTAGGGACCAATGAAGAAACCAATATCCAAGGAATAAAAGCAACAATTAGGCATAATCACAGTTAAAGAATAAAAATAGAAAGAAAGATACACATATAGATGTACCCTGGAAAAATTTAACAGACTGGTCATGGACCTCTATGAAACATTAAATGCTAAAAAAAAGAAAGACGTGAGTGTGTATATGCGTGTGTGTTCTACTTGAGAGGTAAAAAGAGTCAGACAGGTTATAACACAAAAATCTTGCAAACAGAGCTGTCTTTTACACGGGAAGGCAGGAGAAAATATTCTCCACTCTGTAAGGACATATCAAAATTAACACTGACATATCCTTGCTGAAGAATAATTACTTAAAAATATATACCAGTCAACAGACAAAACAAAAAGATAAAACTGGCAGGCATGATGGCTCACGCCTGCAATCCCAGTGCTTTAGGAATCAAAGATGGGAGGACTGCTTGAGGCCAAGAGTTTGAGACCATCCTGAGGGATACAGTGAAACCCTGTCTCTACAAAAAATACAAAAATTAGCCAGATGAGGTGGTGCACGCCTGTAGTCCCAGCCATTCAGGAGGCTGAGGCAGGAGGATGCCTTTAGCCCAAGAGTTTGAAAATACTGTGAGCTTTGCTGATACCATAGCACTCTAAAGTAGACCCTGTCTAACAACAAAAAAGACAAAAACTGTGAATATAACAATACTGGCAATGAGCTTTGAAATTAAATAAACATATGAAACCAATTAAGGAAAACTTGGCCATAAATTATTCTCAGATAAAATATTAAGAATAAGCTAATAATAATAAACACATCAGACTTTACTAATAAAGGCCAATCTTATTTAGCTATGTGCTAAATTCTAGGTCTTACATAAAAAGAAGTCAAAATACACTATTTTAATTTAATTACGGAAATATAATTTAAAATTTTTAGCAATCACAAATATAGCGATTACCTAGAAGCCTAATAACAAAAACTGGTAAAAGCAAGGCTGCCAATCGTCACCTTGCTAGGTCATGATAGCTCTGGAGGTTCTAGGGCCCCTCTGAGTCAGTTTGATGACTGCATTAGTACAAATAAAGATCAAACTGGTATCTTCTAAATCACTGGAGAAGGTAAATAATGTTAGACAATTTTATTCATAAATCAGTAATATTTATGCATATGTACCTTTATATATATGCTATAAATGGCTAAAAAAATTAACCAAAAATATGCCAAATGTTTTATCCTAGTGAATGGAATTACAGGTGACATAGTTTTCTGTATTCTCTAAAGAGAGAGCATGTATAATTTTAATAACGGTAAAACAATAAACCCTTTTTACTGTTTTTATTTTTATTTTTTTTAAAGAGACTGAGCTTTACTTTGTTGCCCTCGGTAGAGTGCCGTGGTATCACAGCTCACAGCAACCTTCAGCTCTTGGGCTTAGGTGATTCGCTTGCCTCAACCTCCTGAGTAGCTGGGACCACAGGCGCCCACCACAATGCCTGGCTATTTTTTTGTTGCAGTTTGGCCGGGGCCAGGTTTGAACCCGCCACCCTTGGTATAGGGGGCCGGCGCTCTACTCACTGAGCCACAGGCGCAGCCCCACCTTTTTACTACTCTTAAAGAATGGGTCATGTCAAATTGCATAGTCAAAATACTGTATGTTCTTAAAATACCAAGATATATTTGTAGAGATACCTATTTAATTCCAGACTAGGCATTTAAAAAGTTTCTTTTGTAAAGCACAAAGAACTCTAGATGGATAGGTTATAGAAAGTACAAAATGCAAAATAGGCTGAAAAGCCTTTGCAAAAAAAATTTTTTTTTGCTTGTCTGGTTGTTTTGAGGTAGGGTCTCACTCCATCACCCTTTCTACGCTTTCTAGAGTGCAGTGGTGTCACTGTAGCCCACTGCAACACCAAACTACTGAACTCAAGTGATGCTCCCGCCTCAGCCTCCTGAGAAGATGAACTATAAGTGTGCCTGGCTAATTTTTCCTTTTGGGGGGTAGAGACAGGTCTTACTACATTGCCTAGGCTAGTTTTAAACTACTGGCCTCAAGGGATACTCCCACCTTAGCCTCCCAAAGTGCTAGAATTACAGGTGTGAGTTACTGTATCTGACCTTGAAAATAGCTTTTAAAATTCAACAATATTAAAATAACTTTTCTGTAATTGGGAAAATTTTATACTTATTCCCACAGTTTTATATGAAATACAATACTCTATAAATCTATTTTTGTATTATAAATGCAAATATTAAAATACCACAATATAAAATTTCCAATTCAAAGACAGTGTTTAGAATTTAGATATGATCCTGGTTCTTAATTTCCCTAGTGAAAGCAAAATGTCCGAATGGTTATTTAACTTTATTATCTGACTGTAGTAATTACTTCTATGACATGTACATAATCCAAATATACATAAAAATTAGTGCTTGTTATAAAATCTCTTAGCACATTTTAATACTTACTCTTAATAAATCATCTATTCTTCCCTCCTTCTTCTCTAAGTCAGAATTCTTACTGTTTTCTAGTGCAGATATTTTTTCTATTGTGAGGTCAGACTATAGAGACAAAGGCAAAACAAATTTAGGAATAGTCTCAAAACATTACATGTTATTACATTTTTCTCATTACTTTTCTGAAAAAGCACTTGCTAACACAAATAGCCTGGAATCACATGGTTCAAGAATTAAATCTGCTCTCCTAATCCCATTCATTAAGTCTTAGCTGAGATCCTTATATCCTGCTACATGTGCACTTCAAAAACATATTAATTCTTGAATCAAATATGTGAATTCTGAAACTACTATGCATTGAACAGTACAGAAATTCATTATTCCAAAAATGAAACTAATTTTAAACAGAAAAAGACTGCATAGGAGACGTGACTCAAACCTCTGAAGAACAAACATGCCATCTAGTTGAAATAGAGAGCAATCAGAAAGGGAGAAACAAAGTTATCCCAGTGCTCAACTATCTAAGTCTACTCAACAGTCCAAAAGATAGTGATTCAAATGAAATTAAAATCCGCTTCAGAGGGTGTATACTGAGATTTAAGAAATTCTCTTATATTGCCAAGCATCCTGTCTCGAAGGCAACATAGGCAGTGTCAAAAGAAGCTGCAAGGAAACCAATTATACTATTGGCTAAGTCAACACGCTAGAATGGAGGACACATACATCCTAAAATGGTCACAACATTCCCTCAATAAGAGTTTCTGAAGACTGTTTAAAGAATAAATTACGTTAGTGTACCACATCTTAGAGAAGTTTAACTAGGTTCTGCAAACGAGTAAGCAGGTACAAGGAATAAATTAACTACTTTCATAAAGTAAGGAATTAACATTTATTGAAAGCCTACCATAATCACTATTCTAATCAGCATTTTGTACACGTCGTCTGAGATAATTAGAATCAACTGTAGTTTTACAAAAGATTTATACTAAGGAAACCTGAAGCCTAGAAAGAAAAAATATAAACTATAGTACCAGAATCTGAACCCAAGCCTTCAAAACATGTACTCTTTCCTTAACACCATGCAGCAATATATGCATTTCTGCTACAATACACCAGAAAGGTAAAGAAAAGCCACAAAAAGTTAAAGCACCTCCCCAAGGTCTGTACCTATAATGCAAGTTCTAAATATTTCTGTATTCACAGAAATAATGAGGTATTGTAGGAGAAATACAGGAAAAGAGAGAGAGAGATCAGACTCTATATATGTTTAGATTAGCATTTTTAATCTTAAGAAGATAAAATTCCTCCACTGTTTATTAATCATTGACCTACCTGGGTCTGTCTGTGCTGGATGGAGATCTGTTTTTGGGAGCTACAGGAATGCTCTGTGTTGCCAGATCCCGTAGAAGAAGGACTGTTTTGTTGAGCCTATGATAAAGGTACATCACGAATCACAGGAAATTTTGTATCTCTCAAAACAAAAATTTGTATGAATGCAAACAACTACCTCTATATAACACAAACTGTTTCTTATGAAAGTAGTCAAGGAAAAAATAAAAAAACAATTCAAATATGAAACACAAGGGAAACATAGTGGCATATATTATGTTTCTATAAATAGGTTTAAAGTATCAAGAGTCAGAATAGTCTACTAAATACCCAAACATTATCCATGAACACGGAGCAATCTAAAAATCCAGGCTGATATCCAACATTCTTAGTCACTTTTTGATCGAGCATTCTAAGGCATTTTTCAAATTTATATGGTCTAGGTTTCATTTAATTCAGGTACTCAGAAATATACAACCATTATAGTCCCAAGAATACTTTTAAAAACAGGGTATAGGCTGGGTGTGGTGGCTCATTATCTGTTATCCCAGCACTTGGGAGGCTGAGGTGGGTGGACTGCCTGAGCTCACAGGTTCAAGACCAGCCTGAGTGAGAGACCCCAATTCTAAAAATAGCTAGGTACTGTGGCAGGCATCTGCAGTCTCAGCTACTTGGGAGGCTGAGGCAAGAGAACTGCCTGAACCCAAGAGTTTGAGGTTGCTGTGAACTATGATGCCACAGTACCCTACCGAGGGCGACAAAGTGAGACTCTATCTCAAAAAACAAACAAAAAAAACAAGGTACAGATCAGGTGTGGCGGCTCATGGCTGTAATCTCAGTCCTTTGGGAGGCCAAGGTGGAAGGATGACTTTACCCCAGGAATTTGAGACCAGCCTGAGCAACACAAGACTCTAATTCTATAAAAACGGTTTAGCTGGGTGTGGTGGTGCACGCTTGTAGCCTAGCTACTGGGAAGGCAAAAGGATCACTTGGGCCCAGGAGTTCGAGGCTGAAGTGAGCTGTGAATCCCGCCACTGTACCCTAGCCTGGGTAACAAGAGCAAGACTCTGTCCCAAAACATTTTTAAAAGGTACAATTGTGCCTATCATGGTATGACCTACCAAGACATAACTAGGAAATATTAACAATTCTAAGGACTAATGAATGATGAAAATACAGTACTACCATGTCATCAGAGGATGCAGTGGTTTTACATATGTGAAGTTTTTCTTATGCTTTCTACATATTCTTTTGATTATTGTTCTTATTTATTAACAGTCATAACAGTATAACCACCACCAATTAAGCAATTACTATAAGCTAAATGCTTTACTGTCACTATTACATGCAATCCTTATAAAACGCTGTAAGTGATAATTACATTATTTTTCCATTTACAGATAAAGAAAATACAACTCAGAGATATTAAGTACTTGTGTAGGGTTGCAGAGCAAGTTAAATGGGGTAATCAGAATTGGGGGTTGTGTCCATAATAAATGCTCTCAATGACTACAACAAGACTGTCATAACCAGGTTGTGAGCAAGTACTTTATACACGTGCACTGAAGGTTCACAACAGTCTTAGAAGGTAGAAGTGTTGGCTTGGCTCCTATAGCTTAACTGGCTAAGGCGCCAGCCCCGTACACCTAAGGTGGCGGGTTCGAATCCCCAGCCTGGACCCGCCAAACAACAATGACGGCTGCAACCAAAAAATAGCCAGGTGTTGTGGCGGGTGCCTG